ACTTCCATCAAATGGCTTCATCCCAGAGTTAAGGCGTATTGCCTCTGGAGTGACCAAGGTAACGCGTTCACCACGCTCTCACTCGACCTCACCTGTAGAAGGTACTGGGAGGAGGGGAGGGGTCTTCTCTGGGATTACCTGCGGCCCCTGCCGTGAGGTCAATGGCAGCCTGGATGGCAGGATTAGACTTCATGTTCGTCTGCTCCTCTGCTGGGCTCCGTGGAAGGCAGCTCTCTGGAGCTTAGGACAGGCGCCTCATATCCCTGGGAGGAGGGAAGGGTTCACCATCAGTCAGACCCCTGCAGCCTCCCTTTCTCTAGGCCTGCTGCCTAGTTACCGGGCCTGAACTTCTGGGACCCGCGAAAGGGGCTCTACTCGCTCCAAAGGAAGAGGGCTCAAGGTGTCCATGCAGCTTAGCCGTGGCCTCCCCTCTCCCACCCACCACTTCCCCACGGAAAGCTCGAGGGTCAAAAATGTTCCCTGAGTATCAACACCACAGCCACAGGAGGGGGGCACCTCAACCGACCTTTCTGAAAACCTTAGAAACAAATGCCAAATAAGTGAGCCAACCACAGACGTCCCACATCGAATTAGTTTTCAGACGTGACGTGGATCTATCAGTCCACCAGGCTCAGTCCGAAATCCAGACAGTGGCCTGTGCTGGGTCTCCAAGAGGAGGTCACCAAACAGTCTGGGAAGGAGCAGGTCAGGAGCTCTGCCGAGTGACACCGGCTGGTGACATTGAATGCCTGCTCTGCCACCAGGGGGCTCCCTGGGCCTCTAGAGCTGGGGGTCCCCATCTATACAAGGTGAATAATAAAAGTATTGTCATCATAACACAAAGGCCATCACAGATAGCCACGTCAGCACCAAACGTTACTGTCATCGCAGTCCCCTCCAGAGCTCAACTGTGAATGTGCACTCAAATCACCCGGGGACCTCGTTAAAACGCACATTCCGAGGCGACAGGCCTCAGCTGGGGCCAGAAACGCTGCCCGTCTCGACTGCTCCCTCGCAGATGAGGCGGATATGGCCTGGCCACCAACCACTCCGAAGAGCAACACCTGGTCCACCGTGTCCCAAATTTGCTGGATAAGAACCACCTGGGGCACTTGTTCAAGATTCAGATAACCAGGCCTCCCTCCTGGAAACCTTGATTCAGGAGGTTTGGGCTGAAACCTAGGAAGTTTGGGAAAACTAGAGTCTACTACTCTACTTTTAGACAAAAATCAGTTATTGCTGAGCATGGACTTAATAAACATCGACTAGAAAAAGGAAAGTTGGCTCCTTAACATAGAATATTCAAATAACCAATTCAGGGACAATCCCGTAGGGTGTTCAAACGATGTAAGTGACTTATCCGTGAATAACAAGGAATTTTTATTCCTTGCACTGAAGACCTGTGTGATCCCAGTCAGGCCACCTCTCAGAGGGGGGGTGGGGGGGGTGGCCGGGTCATTGACAAACGCCAACGTCATCCTCAACGCCAGCAGAAAACAATCTTAGCCAACAAGTTTTTTAACCCCTTGAAGCATGCTGCCAATGACCAGACACCAAGAATCTTCCTTTCTTTACAAAAACTTTTAAAACCAGCAACAAGAAAAACACAGTACTTAATAAAGCAACTGAAACATACAAGACACCGATTTTATGTTATTGATGGGCCTGGAGAGGCAGGACCAATTACCAAGGTTGATAGGGTGGTGGCCATTGGGCATCTAGAGAAGGACATCAGGGTCTAATCCACTCTCTTCCTTTTCCAGATGGAAAACGGAGAACACAGGAAGACAAGGGCCTGTCCAAGGTCATACGAAGAGCCACAGGTAGAGAGAGGATTAAACTCAAGTCTCACCTTTTGGGTCTGTGCTTACTAACCAATACTTAATTCCAGAGTATTCTGACCTGGCCAAAAAGAAAAAAAAAAAAAAACACTGAACCCTGCATTTCAGAGGAAAAGGGGGATGAGTGGGGAGAGAAACCACACAGGCGGGGCACATCCAGTGTGGCCTTTCGGTGTGTCATTCCTTTTATTGTGCACATTTCTTTCTTAGAAGGAAAGAAAGGCATATGTTATCAAGGTGAATTCAACGCTTTAGGTAAGCCAGACTTAAACACACCAAATCCTACAAATAACTACTTGTAGAATTATTAGGATAATAAACAGTGACAGGAACTAACAGATTAACTCAGAGGGTGTGGGCAATTGATTCACATATGCGTAACTTTGGCTTGAAGAAGACATATGGCTCGGGGGAGGCAAGACTAACCAGCAGGAGTTGAAACCCATTCGTGAGCCTTCGGTACCGCTTGGAACAGAAAAACGGAATCGTTTCAGCGTCCCTTTACCCCTCTTTCAAACTACACCAGGGTCCCACTTCGGGAGAGACAGCCAACAGCGCCAATCATACATCCTTCGCGTTCCTCAGGGAAATTAACTTCGTATGGGAGAATCCGACGAGGCACTTCCCACCACGTACACGAACCGCCACGGAAGATTCCAGCTTCAGGCTGAAGCTGGCGCGGCGGGGGCCGGAGCACAGGGGCGCTCGGATGCACACCAGGCTCGCCCCCAAGCAGCCCGGCGAGGCGCTCCTCCTCCGGGCCGGGATCCTGGTCCGCACAGGGGCAGCGCGAGAAACCAGTTCCAACTTTCCGAACGTCCGCTGACTCGGCCCGGCAGCCTGCCGGAGTCGCCCATTCATCGGCGCCTCCAGCCTCCCCGGCGCTCGGGCGGCGCGGAGCGCGG